AAATGAGTACAGCCATATAACAAGATACTGGATCAAATTATATTTACTTCTTCAGTAAAGCTATAGCTTATGCCTTCAAGACTTTTCTGGACCTTGGCTCCAAAATGATCACTCTTTCTCATGACATTTGTTTTAACTTAGTTGGTTTACTTTCTGCATCAATTGAAGGTGATGCTGAACAAACAGATGCTTTTAGTAACTTCAAAGGGAAAAAGAGGGAATCTATAAAAGAGTAGCACAGATCTTTTATTCAACTTTTTTTTAAAGTTCCTGTTGTCATTCAGAGGTCATTCAGGCTTGTGAGATTGGGTCATATTCAGGCAACAATAGCAGCAGCCCTATAAACCTGCTCCATGATTCCAAATAACTCCTAGAATTTCAATGGCTTATTGATTTCTAGGATACTTAAAAAGGCAGTGAACACTCTCAGGAATGAGCAACCAATCAACATAAAAGATGTTCAGCTTTTCTGATATGAACCAACATTATAGCTTAGCAAGATGACTAAAAGCAATAAATTAAAGCTACTCTAAACATGGCCAAATGCTGCTTTAACGGTGGCGATTGTGGTGGTTTTCAATTATTGAATTTGTTACAATGTAGAGTCTCCCAGGTACCACAAACTTGGTATATCATGTATTTGTAATAAGTACTTTATGCATTTTATTTGTCCGTATGCATTATGAATGCTGGATGACAAGCGCAAAGCATCTGTCCATTATGTTCTAAATCTCAGAATCTGTTCCAGGGACAGGTAACATGATGCTAGTGGACAACTCCCTTTTCATCATCTAGAAACCCCTGAACCATCTGGGTTTTTGTTAATTCTAACTGAAACAATCTATGGGGAATCGGTAAGCTATTATGTAAAACTTCTGCATCTAGAAGCATTTTTTATTAATGGTGCTATGTTCATATATTAGGTCAATATTCCATTTAAGACCAAGGTAAGCACATCCATATGCAATGGAAATCTATAGTACTCATTCCTAGGAGAAAAATATCCTTCCTCTGTCGGTAGTTCATTTTCAAGTTGGGAAGAAATCTGATGCCAGACAACTGGTGAGGAATGGAGGAAGCATTTTATTCTGGCCAAGATCATAAGCGGATGTTAGACAGCACTTGTGCTGAATATATATTGTCATCTCTTTTAATAGGTTTCTATTTAACATCTTTTAGCCAATTGTTATCAATACAGACACAAATGGACCATCCATTTTTTCTGTCCATGTTCTTTCAGCATGATCACTACATGCTGTTTTCATGAGCATGAGCTAGCTGGTGCAGGTATCCTTCATTTTCAACACTTAGAAAATATAACTTGTTAACCACAGCATCTACAAAGGCAATATCTAGCTAATCATAACACATAAGCTGAAAGCATAAGCCATTGGTCTTTCTTGTACACAGCTTTTTTGGTTTTGCCCCCTACTTCTTTATAAAATGTTGTTGCTAGTGCTTACTATAGATTTTCTGCCAGCCCTTCATGCTATTCTAAGCATTTTTGCAAGCAAATAAAGAAAATATTTCAACAACCCTGGTCTCGGTGGTTGGAGTTTGGCAAATTGCTGCTGCTGATGCTTTCACAAAGATCATGTGGGAATTATTGTAATTTTGCGTTGACTTTTATTCCTGTGTTGCCTTTTCAACTGAACTCAGAAGATAATGTTTTTCTCATAAAGCCTCTTGTGAATTTTAAGTGAGGATATTGTTTCAGGTGCTCCCAGGTTCACCTTATGGTCACTCACTCAACGCACTCATAGTACTGCTCAACAGTTACATTCAAATCACTTTCAAATGAACACTGAGGCACAACTAGTCTTTTGGAATACACAAAGAGCCAGTGAATTTAAAGTAACAGCAAAACTTTACTGGTTGCAGTGTACAATTGCTCTTTTTTTCACACATATACATTCATCCACACTTATCCATATCCTTTTCAAGTAGACTTTCAGGCACTAACCAGAGGGACAGAAGCCACCAAATCTGAATCCAAAGAGAATTCAAAGAAGGGGTAGGTTTCAGGACCCCCTTTATTGCCCCAAATCCTTGCTTTGTTGATTCATAGATACCCTTGACTTGTTGATTTTCAAGTCTGGTAGCTGTTAATGAGACTTGGGAGTGGGGTTTCCATATGCTGAGGCCCAACTTTTGTCTGGTTCAGATGATATATTTTTCTCTTGTTTAACAACTTGGTTCCTTTTAAACTATCTATCTGAATGGATCTTTTAGACAAGATTTCTGCCTCTTGTCCACCCTGCTTACATATCTGCTTCATTTTTAGGTATGGCAACTTCAGTTTAGTCATAACACCAAACACCAAGGTCACCAGAATAAATCTTTTGATATTTCAGGATTTGTATGTGGGTTTTTTTTTTGACATTCTCGCATAGGATCCTGCAGTGATTGAGGTACAGTCTGCTAAAACCTCTATTTTAAAATTTTTATTCTATATATTGGTTTGCATTTGGTGCCTGAAAATGTTAATGACCCTCAAAGTAGCAAGTTCCACTAAAATAGAAATTTAGCTATTTTTCTGTATAATCTGAGAGTTAGACAAATTTTTACAAGCCACCACGGAAGAAGCTGTAAACAGTCTTCTCATCATAAGTGCATGAATGAACTGAGGGATTGTATACTTAGCTAATAGTATTTAAAGTTAAAAACTTCAAGCAACGGTGCTTTCATGGAGAAATTCCAGCATGTAATTCCTTCTGGCAATGTTTCAGTGTTGAGGGAACTGATTAAGCAAAATATCTTCAAGGTATTCTTGTTTCTTTCTGCTTTCTGACCTTTAGAGCTACACAGTATTTGTGGCTGCAGTAATTCCTGGGCAACTGGATTATTGTACCTTTCCTTTAAATCTCATTGAACTGCCAAGGTGCATTTTCTATCCCTTAGACTTTGTCTAAGGTTCAACCTAGATGTGATACAGTCATATCACCCTCCAATTCCTTCAAATACTCCAATACCCTCAAACGATCCATCTGTTAAACTGCTGAAGTTCACAGATGACACAACAGTAATGGTCTAATTCGAAACAATTATGAACTCGCATACAGATGGGAGGTTGAATAACTAGACTCGTGGTGTGACCAGAACAATCTGGAACTGAACACACTCAAAACCATAGAAATGGTGGTAGACTTTAGGAGAAACCCTCCCATACTACCACCTCTTACAATACTAGACAACACAGTTTCAACAGTAGAGACCTTCAAATTTCTAGGTTCTACCATATCTTAAGATCTAAAATGGATACCTACCATCAAAAAAGTCATCAAAAAAACACAACAAAGAACGTTCTTTCTGCGCCAACTCAGAAAGCTCAAACTGCCAATGGAGCTGCTGATACAATTCTACAGAGGAATTATTGAGTTGGTCATCTGCACCTCTATAACTGTCTGGTTTGGTTCTGCAACCCAACAAGACAGACACAGACTTCAGAGGATAATTAGAACTGCAGAAAAAACAATTACTACCAACCTGCCTTCCATTGAGGACCTGTATACTGCATGAGACAAAAAGAGGGCTGTGAAAATATTTACAGACCCCTCGCATCCAGGACATAAACTGTTTCAACTCCTACCCTCAAAACAACGCTATAGAGCACTGCACACCAGAACAACTAGACGCAATAACAGTTTTTTTCCAAATGCCATCACTCTGCTAAACAAATAATTCCCTCAACACTGTCAAACTATTTATACTAAACTTGCACTACTATTAATCTTGTCATTGTTCCTATCATCCATCTCCTCCCACTTATGACTCTATGACTGTAACCTTGTTGCTGATATCCCTACGATTTATATTGACTGTTTTCTAATATGATTTGATTGCTTATTTGTACCCCATAACTATCATTAAGTGTTGTATCTTATGATTCTTGATGAACGTATCTTTTCTTTTATGTACTCTGAGAGCATATTCACCAAGACAAATTCCTTGTGTCCAATTACAGTTGGCCAATAAAGAATTCTATTCTATTCTATTCTATTCTATTCTATTCTATTCTATTCTATTCTATTCTGCCATAACTTCTCCTTTAACCAACCAGGGCCCATGTACCATTATTTCACAACCTTATAAATAATTTAGCTAATCCAGTCTATCCTTAGTGTAATTTATGTAGTAGACAAGAGATTTAAGTCCAGCCCAACTTGAATTTCATTGATTCTTATTTACCACCAATTTGCTTTGACTGTTAATAGTTCAGATTCTTGTAGAATAGAGGTGTCAAACTTGATTTCATTGAGGGCTGCATCAGAGTTGTGTTTGACCTCGGAGGGCCGGGGGGCATGGGGCATGGCTATGGGTGTGTGGTCATGATGGACATGGCTGTTGGTGTGGCTATGGTGGGCATGACATGGGATTCGTGTCAGGGGCAGCTGTGGTGGCCAAGTGATAAGGCAGGAATTCCCTAAAATCTTCACTCTCCTCCCTATAATCTCCTCCCTCCCTCCCTCCCTCCATCCATCCCTCCCTCCCTTCCTTTTCTTCTGTTTCCTTCCCTCTTCATTCTTCTTTCTCCTTTCCTTCCCCTCTTTCCTTATTTTTTCTTCCTTGCTCTCTTCCCATCTTCCCATCTTTCTTTCTCCTTTCCTGTCCCTTCTTGCATGTTCTTTCCCTTTCCCTTTTCTCTTTCCCTTTCTCATTTCCTGTCCCTTCTTGTATGCTCAAATGCAAAAGGGGAAACATTTCTCCTTTTGTTTTATTTTTAGTTTGTTTTGATAGACCTCTGCCAGTGAAAACACAGCCCAGGTGGGCACGCACTGTTTTTGCTGGCAGAGGGTTGCAGGAGGCTGTTGTGGTTGAAAATGGGGCACAGCCCCCTGAGCTCCATTTTTACTAGCAGAGGCACCTCAGTCTGGTCCTTTGCTGTTTCCACGATGGCCCCATGGGCCAGATCTAAGCACCCCATGGGCCAGATCCCATGTTGTAGAGAGTTTAAGCTTGCAATAAACCTTTATATTCATTTGAATTGCCTTGACTCCTGATTTCCTGCATTTGACAATTTATTTAATGCGTAACATAAATATACATTCAGATACATACCCCACAAAACCCCATTCTAATGGAAGTGAAGGCTTGATGGAATTCTGAGGACACCTTTCACTATAAACAACAACTTCAATGAAAGAAAAATATCTGCTTTGGCTCAAGACTCCATTTTGTGAGCAGCCAGCTGTGTTACGCTTCATTTTCTTCATAGTCTGTATCTCATTATTGGTTGTTAACAACTGCAAGCAAGTTGGTTAAGAAGTGTCTTCTTTAGGTTTTTTTTTCTTCTTCTGACAATTTCTGGCTGTGTTGCCTTCAGATCTTCCTTTCTTTTACCTTTTTAAAAGAACATCTTCCAACAGTGTAATTAGCAGGTCTCTGGACTCATTTAATGTGCAAAAAGGAAAGGATGGTGATAATCTCCAGCTGGTTTACATTTTGCATCAAATGAAACGTTGCCACTTTTGAAAAGAGAAAACATTTCCAGAAATACACACTTTAGTAACTTTTATAAAGTTTCACTCAGGGTAAATATACAGAGAACAAAAGTACTTTGTCCTACATGGCTTGCAGTTGAGAAAGACTGAGTGTGTCATAATTCATACTATGACCCTCTTTGTTTGGCTCGTATTCAGTGAGACTTTACAGGAACTCAGTCAGTTAGAATCTCTAGGCTGGCTTTGTTTATCCTTTGTGCTAAATTAAATCAGACTGCCTAGAAACTAGGATGAAACATTGGGAAGTGTTTTTTGTATTATTCATGTGAGAATTTAAAGAATATATTGCAGTGCAGAATCATCCCATGGCAAATTCTCAACTAGCTTTGTCCACTTCTAGAATACATTTTTCCCTCTTCACACTTTTCCCTTTTCAAAGGGCAGCCAGAATGTTATGCCCATGACTATTATTTATTAACTAGTTTTCTTCCAAGCTTTTTCATACCTCTCTCCTCTTAACAATGCTGTCATTTCTGCTCCAAAAGGATCCACATTCAGTTTTTAAATAGATAGATTACAGAGACCACATGTAGAACATTCGTTAGGATTTAGCAGACAGTAAAATAACCCAAACAACCAAAAGAGTCAGCTTAGTTGCCCTTCCAAAGCATTTAGGCCTCTATATCAGATCGCAGTGATACAGCAAGTTATTGGATCACTTTAATTACAATAGTAAAGGCATCATTTTCTGTGACACAGTAGAAGGCAAAGGTAAATCATTTTGCATTTTACTAAGAAAGCCACAAAGATAATAGGCAAGATAGTTTGATTAGAACAGGGGTGTCAAACTCAAGGCCTTAAATCTGTTTAAATGTGGCCCACAGGGCGGGCCTCGAAATAGCAAAGGACCAGCCCGGGGTGCCTTTGGCAGCCAAAATGGTGTGTGTGTGTGGGGGAGGGCTTGTGCACACACCCATGCCCTGTTTTGACTGGCAAAGTGCTGCATGATCCTCATGCAGCCTCCCTGTGCCCCATTTTGGCCAGCAATGTGCTGCAGGAGGCCGCACAGGCTGAAAACAGGGTGTGGGGAGGCCACATGAGACTTCCCTCTCTCCGTTTTCAGGCTGTACAGCCTTCTGCAGCACTTGGCTGACCAAAATGGGGTGTGTGTGAGAGGCCCCACATGCCCTGTTTTGGCCAGCAGGATGATGCAGGAAGCATTCATCCTGTCTCACTCCTCCCCCCAGGCTGGCCTGTGGAGGAGAACTCCAGTGCTGATCCAGCCTTTGAAGAAATCCAGTTTGACACCCCTGGATTAGATAGTGCCAGATGATAGGCTTTTCAATTGGATGGCACTCAATATGCTACTGAGGAAATGGTGAGGATTTTCAGAGTACTAATTTTGTTTATGCAATGAGAGTTTGAAGCTTTCCAGACTTCTATTGCCATGCAAGAAAAGAAAATGCAAAAGTGCAAAGAGAGAATTGCAGTGGGAACATGGGAAACCTAACACAATACACATTCACACTTAGATATCAGAAAATTAAAATGGACAAGAATTCAGATAGAAGACCATACTCTTCCCTACTCAGGATCTAAAAAACAAAGTGGAATGTTATTGCTATCATAGGAAGAATATAACAAGGATGGTACTTGAGTATAATGCAGGTCAGTACCGAATAATATCAGTGAGATTTCATGTCAGCCCTTTAATATGATAGTTATTCAATGTATGCTTCAACCACTGATGCAGAAGAAAAAGAAGCTGCTGAGTTTTATGGTGAAACTCATCAGAAATCAAATAAAATGTGCTGGTTGCATTGGACTGGAATTTCTATGTTGGAATTAGTAAGGAGGGAAGTATAGTTGGGCTCTATAACATAGGAAACAGAAATTAAGTAGGAGGAGACTGTATCAATTTCTGCTATACAAATTATTTTTTTTCTTTGCTAATTTTTTTTTCAAACAATAAAATAACATCTACATCTATGTATATACATCTAGATTAGTGGTGGTATTCAGCCAGTTCTATCTGGTTCAGGTGAAATGTTAGCGGCGGCTGTGGGAGGCTCTGCCCACCTGCCTGGAGATCATCAGGTCCCGTTTTTGATGCTCTGCACAGGTGCAGAAGGTCCTGCACCTGCGCAGAAGTATCGTGCGTGAGCACGCTCACATTTGCGAACCAGCAGTGAAGGTAAATGAATACCACCCCTGATCTATATACATGGATGTCAGTATCATTCTATTGGTTTCTTCAGAAAGATTGGGTCCTAATGAAGATATAGCAGAAGAGAAGCAAGTTTTATCTGACAAGACAGAGACAAAAATAGAGTTGATACTGACAGTGGATCTGCAAATGAAAGGCATGGGAAAGGATCAGTGGTGGGTTCCTTCCGGTTCGGCCCAGTTCTGCCGAGCCAGTAGCGGTGACGATATGACATCAATGAACCCGTTCTCTTTGTTTGGGAGCTGAGCCCTCCTGCCCCCCTCCCGCCCCCCGCCTGCCCACCCCCCGCATTATTCTTACCCTTTATTATTTTTATGGGTAGACCGGTGCCTCCAAAAACAAATGGGTAGACCGGTGCCTCCAAAAACCAATAGGTAGACCGGAATGCTCCAAGAAGAAATGGGTAGACCGGTACAGCTCTGCAAGCAGTTAAAAGCCTGGTAGACCAGTACCTCTGCTAAATCCTAAAGAATTGTCACATGACCATCACACCACACCCACAAAATAAGCCACGCCCACAGAACCAGTAGTAAAAATTTTTAGAACCCACCCCTGAAAAGGATGTTTCATTAGACACACAAAAGAAACTGGTGGATGCTTTAAAAATCAAAGGAGAATTACAAATAATAAACCAAGAGAGTGACCTGGATAATTATTTTATATTGGATTTACAAAAGAGGTTGTTAAAGCTTAGTTAAATCTTGTAAGAGGAGATTAAAAACAAAATTCAAAGAAATCAAGCTCTACATCATTACTTGAATGGAATGAAGATTAAGATTCTTAGAAATAAAATAAAAGAAAAGAATGTTGGTTTACTTTATCAAGGATAAAATAGATAGGTTGTTCTTTCTGTCCACTCTTAATGGACTTTTTCTGGTAGCAAGTTTGAAAGGATGATGCTTTATGGGTTTGTTTATAGAGAAGATATGGGACATAGGATGAAGAGAGGCTTGGTTGTAAATCAAGAGGAGATAAAAAGTTGTTAAAATTGTTTATACCTATTGTGATGACATACTTGAGTGTTTTCCTATTTGCAGTCATCAATAAGATTCAAAATAGACAATATAAAGTATTGAACATTGTAAAACTGACTGAAATGGAATTGTGTACAAGTGGTGAACATTCGCCTGCTACAATGTATAAACTTTTTTTGAAATTTGAAATAGAAGAACAAATGAAAAATGCATGATAAAGTGGGTAAGGTGTTTTGTTATAACATACAGATGGAACAAAGGGAAAATATGTGGTTGAAGAGACTGAAATTTATATTAAGTTATAATCATAAACTTTTATAAAATGATGGACCATTAGTATTTATCAACAGAAAATATGATCTAGAATGCTGTAGAATGTATATATTTTTAACCAAAATCAAACTCCATGAAGTCATTGAATTGAATTTCTTAATAAAAAAGAAATGAATTAATCATATGATTGCATTATATAACTTGTAAGAAATTAATAATTAAGGAATGATCTAAACATCAGTATGTTTTCCCCCCCATAGGCTTGTCTTTATTTCTGAAAGTAATATATCACTAAACTGGAAAAAAAATACAAGAAGTGCTAGAGATGCTCAAAAAATGGGGAAAATAAGAAATATGCTGTAGGACACAAAATTCAAATAATTAGGAACTGAAATATTTAGCAAGCAAGTGGCTGTTTTTCTCCTCCCCCCCCCCCCTCTCTCTCTCTCTCTCTCTCTCTCCCTCCCTCCCTCCCCCCCTCTCTCTCTCTTATAGTGAATTCTGTAGATATTCTTAGGAGGGTGTCTGGGTAAATTATTCTGCAGTTGAATGGCCAATACTTCCTGTGGTGATGAGATTCTTTTCTTTTCATTAAACAGCCATCAAATACACACATCCATGTTCGACAAATGAAGATTTGACATGATTTAACATTTTCCAACCTTGTTACCTGCCCATATATTGACCACATTTTCTATGTTTTTGAATTTATTGCTTTTTCTTCCCCAAAGTAATATTTTCTCTATATTTCTTTTTACAGTCCATATTTTTTGAACTTAGAATTGTATCATGTAATTTGAAGGGTACCCTCTCAAACTTAATCATGGGAAGGCTTTGGATACATATGAATCCTAAAATTTTGAACAGAATTGGAGCTAATTGGGAAAGGTTTGCATTGAATAGATCTTGTATTAGGCAGCTTTCGCTCAACTCTGAACTTCCCTGAAACTCATTAGAGCTACAGTCCCAGCTTCATGAATCATTCTGAATTTGTTCAGGTTTCTTGCCCTGATTAAGCTATATGATTCCTGCATACTAGAGTCATAGAAATTGCAATGAGCAAAACGTATGGAGGTGTGGTTGGGAGTGAAATTGCATCCTTTCCCAGATTTGAAAATCCCTTTTATCACAAAATCACTGCATTTATTTTTCTGAAAGGATTCAGGTTAGCGTCACCTGCATGCTATATCAATTTTATGGTGTTTTCACACAACTGTCCTTTATGGAGACCATGTCTACAAAGCCTGCTAATTAACAATCCTCTTTCTATCTATTCATGTGCAACTTGTTAAGCATAGATCTTTCATAGTGGTCATTTCAAATGGCACTTGTTTATTTCCAGTGATAATCAGTAGGAATTATCCCAATGAGAGAGACAGATTTTGGATTTCTGAAGCAAAATTCATGTTTAGGCTTCCAATCAAGTGAATTACTTTGCTAATGGGATTTTAAGCCCAAGTTACATCAAACCAAATCAAAACCTTTGTAATAATTATGATAATTATTTTTGGTCCAGGAAATACCAATCAGGTACTTAAAAATATAAAGCA